TTTAAGGTTCAAGAACTAGGGGAAATGAGTTTGGAGAGGTGGTCTGGAGTGTGATCACTGAGAACCTTGCAATGCAAAACACTGGTTCTGAGGCAGAAGTTAACGAAGGAGTCCAGTTTAGCCCACAGCTTTACCACCTTTCCCTCTGCACCATTCCATCAAGCAGCTCTGCTATGGTGAGAGCAGGAGATCAGGTGATGAAAGTAGGCTCATTCTTATTCTGTCATACTACTATCAAGAAATCATCTGAAGTCTTGCTGAGGCAACTGGCATGCCAAAGACCACCGATAGGATGAATTGTAATTTCTGAAGTACAGCTCACTCCCACCCCTTCCCACCTCTGCTTCCCTGGCTTGGAAAGCTTAAACCTGTTCATTGTAAGCCACAAGGTGGAGATGTCTGGCATAGCAGAACTGAGAGGAAGTCATTTAGTCAGCCTAAGGTTACCATTAACACTTTGAGCCACTGCCTTGAGCTAATTTTTATGTTTGTTTTTTAAGTTTGGTTGAAATGTCACAAATGGAAAAATTAAGTAAAGCGCCCCGGTTAGCCACAAGACTGGACACACCTGGCTGCAAACCCAGCAAAAGAAACTTACTTCATTAGTAGAGAGAAGCAGAGAGTGAAATTTACATCTGAAATCTGCCTGCACTAGGAGAAAGTGCTGAGGCCAAAGGCGCTGTCTGTTTTTACAGCTGTGTCAAGTCTTAGTTCTTACTCTTACCAACACTCAGGAGTGCGGCAAGGGCCCAAGGAAAAATGGTCTCCAACCTCTTCAGCTGCAACTCAGCTCACAAAGGTTTTTAAGAACCAGTTAATGAAATAAAACAAGACCAGATGAGGTGATATAATGAACTTTATTTCCACAGCTAATTTATATGTTTAAATCCCAAATAATATTTTTTTTAAGTCAGAACACTCTAAATTATTGCTGTGATTTTTGAAACCTCAAATTTAACACTTGCTTTTTATACCAGCTTCACTGATGATATATGAGTCTGCCCCATTTTTGCAATCGTTGGGCTCCTAAAAAGCTGGTAAAAAGAAAACTTTGGTAAAATGAAAGTTCTCCCACTTTTATGAAATGAGAACTCTAATGTCAAAGGAGTTCTTGATTGGAATTCTAATTCCAAAGGAGTTGTTGATTCAAATTTCTGATTCATTAGTTTGCCATTGGCTCTCATGGTTCTTGATCTTACCCACACCAACCCACTAAAAGTAATGGCCTCTAAGAATTCTTTCACATGAGAAAAATCACCACTGTATTGATCTGTTTTATAAATTTTACTTGTTATATGAGTTTTCTTACAGAGGTATAACTGAGATGCCAAATAACACAGAGATAGATTTGCAAATTACCACCTTCAAATCATAGGTTTTCAAAGCTGAAAAGAAACTTGGAAATCATGTAGTTAGACCCATCACCACCTGGTGCTTTTTTTTAATGAAGAAATGAGGCACAGAAGATACAAAGAGGAAAGACTTACCAGTCTGGGTGAGTACCAAGCCAGACCGGCTCCATGTTACCTACTACTTTTCTCCAGCCACATGTCCCATTTCTTCCAGTTGTATGCTCACAGAAGACTGAGATTCCCTCTACACACACACAACTCAGATGTGGTTAATGTACTAATGTCTTGCTATACAAAGGGGTCTGTTTATACCATGAGGTTGGAAAAGGCGGGATCAAGTCAATTATAATAGAAAAGCAGTAAGAGTAATTCCTCAACTCTTCCAAATCTCTATTATTTTTAAATCATTGTCTTTTACTTATAGTCTTTATAACTAAATCAGAGCTTGGGCATTTCTCTTCATGAAGGCAGTTTAAGAACCTGTACTATAGGAATCACCTACAACCTTGCTATTCAAAGTGTGGCTACCTCCTCCCCTATCCTGCATCATTAGCAACATTAGCACAACCTGGAAGCTTTTTAGAAATGTAGATTCTTAGCATGATGGTACATGCCTATAATCCCAGCAACCCTGGAGGCTAAGGCAGGAGGATTCAGTGACCTAGCAAACTCCTGCCTCAAAATTTTTTAAAAGGATAGGGTGTACAGATCAGTGGTTGAGTGCCCCTGGGTTCAATTCCCAGTATAAAAAAAAAAAAAAAAAAATCACTTCTCTGACCCCATCCCAAAACCTACTGAATCAGAATCTGTATTTTAATTTTAATAAGATTCTCAGGTAAACTATAGATAGGCACATTAAAGTCTGAGGAACACTGATCTAAAACACTTCCTTTCAGGGCAGCAAATAGAGGGGAAAAAAAGGCTGGATAAAATAGGGGCACACTAATTCCTGTAGGACTGCACTGATGTACAAATGGACCAGAGACTAGTAAATCAGGCATGATTTATCTGATAAATAAGGTGACTTTGAAACAGAATTCCAAGCTGGGCACAGTGGTGCACGCCTGTAATCCCAGCGGCTCAGGAGGCTGAGGCAGGAGAATCACGAGTTTAAAGCCAGCCTCAGCAAAAGTGAGGCATTAAGCAACTCAGTGAGACCCTGTCTCTAACTAAAATACAAAGTAGGGCTGGGGATGTGGCTCAGTGGTCAAGTGCCCCTGAGTTCAATCCCTAAAACCCCAAAAACAAAAACAAAAACAAAAACCAGAATTCCAGAGGCAGAAGTTCAATTTACTGACTCATTCTGACAAATATTCAATCAATGTTTATTACATAAGCAAAAAACTGAACAAGACAGCTTCCTGCTTTTATAAAGCCTACAGTTAAATAGAAGGGAGATTACACAAAAATAACACAGGAGAGGGCTCGAAATGTTGAATATTGTGATAGAGATGTGAAAGGAAATTCATGGAAGTGGGGGACAATGAAAAGATTCCTGTGGTCCAGGAGTCAGCAATTTATGGCTTACTAAGCTATTCAGGATGGGACAGCTGTGACCCACATGGCTCCAGTGGCCCAACTTCCAGCAGAGTTTAGTCAACAGTGATAAGAAAAACAAGTTCACTAATAGAAGAGCTACTGCGTGACCAAGTGGCTGGCAGTGAGCCAAGGCTTTGGCTGGCCAGAGGGTATCACTGGTCATCATTAAATGGAATGCTGTGTGTTGCCACAGAACTGCATACTGAGAACTTGAGGGCATGTGGAACAGTCAGCTGCATGAATAGCTTAAAGGTTGCTGATTTCACTCAACAGCCAAGAGAGCTGACAAGCGCAACAGTGAGAAAAATGAAAATGGAACTAGAGACAATTACAAAGAAAGTTCAATACTGATTTCAAAATGATGATGATGATGATGATGATGATGATAATGATGATTGCAGTTAAAACTTTGATACATGTTACTTTTTAAGAATGAACAGAAAATGCCAACGGTCTGTTGTCCCAGGGAATGCCATGTAAATGTCAATGAAAATACTTATGCAAACCCATGTTTGCCAAGCTTCCTATAGATGCAGCTCCTTCAAAGACATATGAGAATCTGAAAAAACCCTCAACCCAGGTTCCCAAGAGGCAACCATCCCCTCCATGATGTAGTCTCAAAGACTACAATTTTACACACAGAATAAACACAAATGCCAACAGACAATAGCATAGGAATGTGTGAAGATAGTTACAATAAATAAAAGTAAAACATGAAGCATGGAAAGAAAGTTGCATATAAGTACATAAAGAAAACACACTACATATTTTCTATAGATAGCAGAGGAAAGAGTCTTAAAAGATACACGCCAGGGCTGGGGTTGTGGATCAGAGGTACAGCGCTTGCCTAGCATATGCGTGAGGCACTGGGTTCGATCCTCAGCACCACATAAAAATAAAGATATTGTGTTCACCTATAACTAAAAAACATTTTTTTTAATTTAAAAAAAAAAAAAGATACACACCAAAATGGAAATGGTAGTTATTTCTTGGAAAGAGATAAATGGCCAGGATTGAGATTGATGATTAAAGAAATTTTAGCCTTAGTTAACACATTTTGAATTTAAAAAACAAGTGTAAGTAAAAACATTTTTAATACATATTAGTGAAAAAAAAGCCAAGACTCAGAATAGAGTACATAGTATAAGCCCACCTGTGTCATGTTAAAAGAATATACATTTATATATTTGTATAGAAAATACTAGAAAAATATACATCAATTCTGACCTGCGGTTACTTATGGGGAGTTGAAATAAGAAAAATACACTTGTTTTTTACATTAAGCACTTTCTACTGCTTGTTTTTATTCTATGAGCATGTGTAACTTTTCTAATAAATTAAACCATTTTGTGACCCAGTCAGATGATTCTCCCAAGCTGGAAGATAACAAATTAGGAAATAACAAGGAACTACTAAAAATCAATGGTCTAGAGATAAAACATAATTGCTTCTCAGTCTTTTGGCTACGATCAAGTATGGAGACAAAAACAGACAAAATTACTGTTTATATAATAAATAGTATCCCAATGTTTTGGTTTCATTCTTCTACTGTCATCATACTCCTGGTGACATATATACCATATACTCTCCTTTCTAAGGCTAATTATTAAATGTACTGATGTATGTTTTCAGTGGATATTCTGCTGAAGTTTTCTATGTTGCTAGTGATCGAGGAGCTTGCTTTTTTAGCTCCTGAGAATAGTGCAAGAACTGAAATATTTATAACATGATTTTTATATCAGAACTGGTTCACATATTGCATTAGTATCAAAAGCAAAGTGTCCTTAAACTGGATTAGTATTTGATTCCCTTCTTTACCCATTCCATCCCTTCTATCACCATGATTTGGGACGTGTAACCTCTCTCCATACCCAGGATGTCCTCACACTGATAAACCACAATAACATGTATAAACACATAATGTATCTGTAGTGTGTCAGTCTCAATAGAGGTAGAAAAGTAACACCAGCTGAAATGCCTCTAGACATAAGGCAGCATTTTCACAGAAATCCAAAGCAAGGCCATTCTAAAACAGATAAAACCCCACACTCTAGTCAGGCAATCCCTCACCAGAGTTGTCCAGATCCAGATCTGACATCCAGCACTTACCCCCATGACTCTGCCACGCTGCTCAACATCTTCCCACATAAAATGAACTATGATACGACACATATATTTCCCACTCCGGCCTTCCTGCTTCATTCGGACTAGACACATCCTAGTGGAAGAAGACAGAGAGGCTGTTAGGCATCGTTCACACCTTACATTTACATCAGAGTGATTTTAGCAAAGGGCATCGAATCAAAAAACTGGAAGTGACCTTTTTAAAAAATGTTTATTCACATACAATGCAGACTTTATAAACTGTATTAACCTTAACTGTACAGTTTGATGAATTTTTTCACAATATTATCCATGAAAGCAACACCCAGATGGACATGGGTTATTCAGCGCACCTCAGAAGGCTCCCTCACACGTGGAAGAGACCACATTTAGTTGTGAAAAGATAAGCAAATTTGAACCCTTCATTTTACTGATGGAAACAGGAATCCTAAAGAATAAAAGTAATTTTCCTGACACCACAAAGTCATCTATTTACTGAGTAAAGAACAACACTGTCCCTATAGTAGCCACTAGAAATCTGTGGCTATTGAGCACTTTAAATGTGAATAAATCCAAAGACTTCAAAGATTTAGTCCAAGAAAGAGAATAGAAAATATCCAATTTTTAAAATTGATTTCATGTTGAAATAATATTTCAGATGAGTTAAATAAAATATATTATTAATTTCATTTGTTCCTTTTTGCTTTTAAAACTCTCAGCCACTTAGGAGGCTGAGTCAGGAGGACCCCAAGGATCCCAAGTTCAAATCCAGCCTTAGCAACTTAGCAAGGCCTTACATAACTCAGTGACACCCTGTTTCTAATAAAATATTTAAAAAGGGCTGGAGATGTGGTTCAGTGGTTAAGCACCCTTGGGTTCAATCCTTGGAATAAGAAAAAAAAAAAAAACAAAACTTAGCTACTACAAAATTTTAAATTACAGGTATAGCTTGCATTGTATTTCTGTTCGATAACACTTGTCTAGAACACAGATCATAAAAAGTATTATAATTACTTTTTTTAAAGTATTAAATTGTTTCACCCACTTGATGTAAATTCCACTGAAAGCAAAGATCAAGCTTTGGTTTTTTTCAACATTGTATCTCCATGTAGAAGACATTCAATAGATATGTACTGAATAACTAAATGAATAAACATAATAAGGCCAAGTTTAGGGCCCTTTCCCTATGCCACATAGCCAGAGGGTTCTCTGCTTATAACCTCATATATGAAGATAAAAGTTATATTTTACTAACTAATAAATATTATATTTAATTATATATAAGAATATAAGCAAGATCACCAACCTCTCAAATTGGTTCCTAATTTTATAACCATACTGATTTCTACTGTCTGTCATTAATTGTTAAGTAGCTACAACAGACGACAATTCCTGCTGTAATTATGGAATGATCAGTCTAAACTGACAATTCTCTCTCTCCTAATATAATTAATCCTGCCCATTAAAATCTACTAGCAACAGCGTGGTACAATGGAAAGATTCCAGCCTGGCCTGCCTAAACATCTCTTTTCATGACTAAGATGGAGAAAGAAAACACACTTATCAAACTGCCAAATGACAAGAAGCTAGACAGAAAAACAAATATGCTAGATGACCCAACCATGAGCCAAAAATATTTCAAACAGGCAGTGTCAATGGCTGAAGAACAAATGCAGGGGTACAAGGATAGATGAGACACAACTACCTACATGTGAAAACATCTTACAGGTAAAGTCAACAAAATGATGATGTTGCCTCCCAATTAAAGTGATTTTAGATATAGCCATGGAACTATATCCTCAACATGCAAAGTGAGACTTTGGTTCTACTCAGCACAGATCAAGATCTATTTGGAATAGCAGAATCTACTGATTACAGTTTTGAACATTATATTTTAAGAGACAAAGGATACAGTTAGATGGAAGAATAAGTTCTGGTGTTCCACTGCACAATAGGGTGACCACAGTTAACAATAATATATTACATATTCTATGATAGTAGAAGAAAATGTGACTCCATTTTGTTTTATGACTTCATCCTGTAGAACGACCATGCCAAGTAGAAGGGTCATGACTGGGGTGATGTTCTTTTCCTATTGCTATAGAAACCTTTAAGAACACGGAACTACCTAATGGGGCATTGTTTCTGTAACTAGGATAACAGGACTCTGTTTCTGTAACTGGGTTGACTGGGCTAACTGTGATTGGTTAGGCTTCCCACCACTTGACTGCACTCTCCCGCTTCTGTAACCTGCTTGCTTGCATTGGCTAGACCCCCGAACATTCCTTTTGCGGTTTTCAGTCTTATAAGGAGCACCCTTGCAATTGTTCGGGGCTGATCAGGGGAACAGCTTTATGTTCTGGTCAGCCGCCACTAGTGTGCTTCAATAAAGGCTTGATTCGATTATACATGAGTGGTCTGGAAGTCAGTTAATGAAACCCCGGGACAAAGCTTTAACTACAACAATTCCAAACAGCTAGAAGAGAGATTTTGAATGTTCTCACCCGGAAGAAATAGTATATATATGAGGTGATGGATATGCTAATTACTCTGACTTGATAGTAATGTAACATATATCAAATTTCACATTAGAGCTGGGGCTATAGCTCAATTGGTGGAGTGCTTGCCTCACATGCACAAGGCCCTGGGTTCAATCCCTAGCACCAAAAAAAAAAAAAAAAAAATTACATTATAGCTGGGTGCAGTGGCACACACCTGTAATCCCAGTGGCTCAGGAAGCTGAGACAGGAGAATCACAAATTCAAGCTAGCCTCAGCAAAGGCGAGGCACTAAGCAACTCAGTGAGACCCTGTCTCGGAATAAAATACAAAATAGGGCTGGGGATGTGGCTCAGTGGTCGAGTAGCCCTGAGTTCAATCCCTGGTTCAAAAAAAAAAGAAAACCACATTATACCCCTTAAATATGTATAATTATGTGTCAATTAAAAATAAAATAAAATTTAAAGAGAGAAAAGTAGAAGAGATGAAAGGTAAGAAGGCATCTAACTTGGATAAAAATAGGAGAGGGGCCTTAAACATAACAGAGAAGTGACTAGACCGTTTATCCAAGAGTGTGAATTAAAACCAAGGGGTGGGCCATAGAGGGAGAAAGATTTACTCAATATTGAACAACAAGATCTGAATGACAGCTGGGCATGGAGGCTCATGCCTGTAATCTCAGGGACGTGGGAGGGTCAGACAGGAAGACTGCAAGTTCAAGGGCAGCCTCAGTAACTTAGAGAGACTCTGTCTCAAAATAAAAAACAAAAAGGGCTGAGGATGTGGTTCAGTGATTAAGTGCTGCTGGGGAGGGGGAGGAGGAGAAGAGAGAGGAGGAGGAGAAGGAGGAAGGAGGAAGAAGAAGAAGAAGAAGAAGAAGAAGAAGAAGACGACGACGACGACGACGACTTGAATAATAGAACAAACGACTGACCTCAAAAAGTAGAGTACTTGCCCATTACTGAATAAATGTTTGTTTGGGAACACAGCTCACACAGGAGGCTGACTACCTGATCTCTAATGTGATTCAATGTTACGATTCTTTATTTGTAACCTCTAAATGTGAACCCAATTAGTGCATAAGAAATAACACTTAGAGACAATAATGAAACAAGTTATGGAAAAAGACTGGCCTACTTTATATGATACAGGACATATTCAGAAACAAACTGGGGAAAGTTCAACAGTCCTTTCTTACAAGACTTTTCAAAAAGTTAATCAAATCACTCATGTCAGTCTCTCACCTGAAAAGACACTGTGTGTTTTGATGCTTAAGTGTTGTCAGAGGCCAATTCATCAACACCAATAGTGAGGTAATGGAATTCTTCATTTATTTGAAAATTCTGTAGTTTGTTAATACACCTGCCCTCTGAGGTTTAAAAGGCATGGATTTTTCTCAGACCATAAACTTTCTAACTATATCAACATGGGGTGAAGTGTTTTGGGTTTCACAGCACAGCTCATTCATAGCTCTTATAGATAACAGTTGCTCAAATGATTGAAAAGATAATACAAAGTAAAGACACTCTCAAGAAGGTGACTGACAATTCATCCAATGAACATAACTGAGCTCCTACTGTGTGGAGGTATATGACTGGTGTGGGTATTTCAGTGATGGGTAAAGCTAGAACCCAGCTTTCAAGGAGCAGTTTGTCTCCTTGGGGAGGTAACGTATGCCACATGCAAACAGCCCTAAAAGACAATGTGATAAGTATCCCAGGAGAAAGTGCAATGGAGTTTAAGAGGATTATTTTTGACTGGGATCAGAGAAAGCTTCATGGAAAAGGAGACATTGTACCTGGGGCTTAGAAGAATAGCTGAAGTTGGATAAGCAGAGACAAAAAAAAAAAAAAAAAGGGGGGGTGGGTGGGGTGGGGTGGTAGGGACTTTCTAGGACTGGGGATATAGCTCAGAGTTAGAGCATTTGCAAAACCTTGGGTTTAATCCCCAACACTGGCTTTCCAACAAATAGAATATTAAAAGCAAAGGCAGGGATATGGAAGAGGTCAGCACATGGTAAGGGAAAAATGAATACCTAGATGTGTGGGAGGGCAGGTTATAGGAAACAGGAAAATGGATCTAGAAAAGTCATGAAGGGTTTGAAATGTCCTACTAAGAAAAAGTCTAAGACTAAGGAGACCAAGGTGAGCCACTGGAAGAAGAAATGTAGTAAGTAAGATTTTGACATTCAAAACAGATGAGAGCAAATGAAAAGTTAACCCTTTCTTCCCAGCCTCAGCCCTGCAATTAAATATTAATGTCACCAGGGCTAAAAAATTACAACTTTGGTGAATATTTGCGTTAAAAGAACAATGGTAATCAGAGCTGTTGATCCAAAAACACTCACTGAAGACAGCACTGCCTTTTGAGAGATACTTAATCAGCAAAGTTTGTTATAACTGCACCTAACAGTTAAGAAAATATGAATTGAAGCCTGTAAATGCAAGGAGGGAAAATGTGAATTACTACTAAAACAATGTAGCAAATTAGTTTGATGGATATTTGATTGATACAAAACACTTTCAAATATAAAGCTCTAGAGCAAAATTTCAGCTTAAGTTTTAAACCAAACCAGGAGGGGGATAGGGTTGTAGCTCAGTGGTAGAGTACTTATTTG